AAGTGACGACATGCGCGCTCCCGTTTCTCGGAGATCCGAGAAATATCTCGGATAACGCAGAGGATCCCGAGTTCAGAATCCAAGATGGCTGCGCCCTTTATCAACAGAAGGGAAAGTTGTAGTTTTATTCTGTTTAAGCACTACTTCTCAGTTGTGGCTCATTAAATCGGTCGCACACACTATACCGTCCAACTTTTCTGTGGACATGTTGCTACTTAGTTTTATACGTGAAGCACCGTGCGTAATGTGTTATCAAGTGATATTGCTAACAATGGCTACCAATTAACTGGGCTACAATTGGATTTCATGATTAGTCGGATTATTTGTCGGATTTAAGGTAGTTTGGGCTAATTGTAAGTGAACGAAGATAAAGGCCATTTAAACTGAGGTACCTTATATCCGACAAGTTGTCCGGCTAAGCAAAAAATCTTGCTTTTTCATATGGGTCCATGGTATTGCTAATTCTGTGGCAAATGGAACGTATCCGACTCGGTTTTCCCGAGTTTTTAGCGGATGTGACGTAATATCGGAATTCGAAAATCGGATCCCGAGGCAAATGGAATGCCCAAGAACAACAAGCCCTCATGCCTGAACGACTACCGGCCAGTTGCACTGACTTCGTTGGTAATGAAGGTGTTCGAGAGACTGTTGAAGAACATCATCTCCTCCTCCATCCCAAGTACCACAGACCCGCTCCAGTTCGCCTACCGACCCAGCAGATCCACAGAGGACGCCATCTCCCACGTCCTGCACACCACTCTCAGCCACATGGACAAGAAACAAGGCAACTATGTCAGATTGCTGTTTGTAGACTACAGTTCAGCGTTCAACACAATAGTGCCCAGTAGACTGTTCACAAAGCTGAGGGACCTAGGACTCAGCAGCCGTTTGTGTGCATGGGTGTTGGACTTCCTCACTGGCAGATCTCAGGTGGTGAGGGTGGGTAGGTGTGTCTCCGACAGCGTCTCCACCAACACTGGGGCGCCACAGGGGTGCGTACTCTCACCACTGCTGTACTCCCTCTACACTTCTGACTGTGTGGCCACTCATGGTTCGAACACCATTGTGAATGTAGCCCACCTCAGCTCTCACTATTCATAGTGATTGCTAGAGCATACAAGCACCTATACTACTATGTGTTTACTTCCTGGACCAGCACATCAAAAGTTTAGATTCGCCACTGGAGAAAGGAGCATCAAAATTTGCATTGAGCGAAAGAGTAAGAACACAGACAACTACAGGTAAATTTTACATATGTTGTATTTAAAAAAAAAAAAAACAAAAGAAATAAACAAAATGTCCTTCAATGCATGAAATATACATATATCTATCAAACTGATAACAACACAGTTCTTATCTCCATTTAGGTTGGCTCGCCACAACCACTGGAATCTACCTCCACCTCTAAAGAACTGAAGTGATCACAGCGGAAGAGTCCATGTGCAGACTTTGGGCTTCACAGAAGGCGGGAAACCATACAAAAGAAAGAAAGAAAAAAAAAAAAAAAACCCGGCCTGTATAGGCCAAAACGGAGTTACAACACTATTCTTAACAACTGAATACACACACACACACACATATATATATATATATATATATGT